TGGGGTGCTTCATCCCATCCCCTGTGCTCTTGTCTTCATCACAACCATCACTCTGAAAGCCTCTCCTTCACCGGCTGTCTTTTTTTTTTTTTAATTTTATTTATTTATTCATAGACACAGAGAGAGAGAGGCAGAGACACAGGCAGAGGGAGAAGCAGGCTTCATGCAGGGATCCCGATGTGGGACTTGATCTCGGGTCTCCAGGATCACACCCCAGATTGCAGGCAGCGCCAAACCCCTGGGCCACCGAGGCTGCACCCTTCACTGGCTGTCTTACTTGTCCACTAGAATGTGAGCTCAATGTGGGTAAGGATCATGTCCTGCTCATTGCTAAATCCCCGGCACCTAAAACAATGCCTGAGTCTTAGAAGGTGCTAAACTTTAGTAAATGCCCCAGGTAAAGGTATAAATAGATGGATGCATGGATCAATGTAATCTAGTCAACAACTACCAACAACTAGTTAGTACTGGCATTGGGCTGAGCACTTTTCGTGATCCCTACAGCATTGTGAGAAATGCCATCCCTCACCCCATTTTACAGATCAGGAACCTGAAGCCCAGAGAGAGGAAGCCACTTCCCCCAGGTACAGAGCTACTGAGTGGCAGAGCCAGGTTTTAGACTTCAGTCTGTCTAACAGCAAAGCCCACATTGTTAACCATGCCACCATGATACCTGATTCTCTGTCACCCCAGCACCCAGTGAGCTTGGAGCCATTCATTGGAAGTAAAGAGTTCACCTGAGACATATTGTCTGATTCCACTTATAGAAATATCCAGATTAGGCAAATCTATAGATATAAAAAGCAGATTAGTGGTTGCCCAGGATGGAAGGGAAGGGGAGTTGGGAAGGAATGGGAAGTGAAGGCTAATGGGCAGAGGGATTCTTTTGGAGATGATGAAAATGTTCAAAATTGATTATGGTGATGGTTGTGCAACTCTGTGAACATACTAAAAACCATTAAATTGTACATTTTAAATGGATGATCCCATGGTGTGTGAATTACACCTCAGTAAAGAGCTGGGTAGGGGCGCCTGGGTGGCTCAGTCGGTTGAGTGTCTGACTCTTGGTTTCGGCTCAGATCATGATCTCATGGATCATGAGGTAGAACCCTGTGTGGGGCTTCACACTCAGTAGGGAGTCTGCTTGAAATTCTCTCTCCTTCTTCTGTTGTCCCTCCCCGCACTTGCATCTGTGCTCTCTTTCCAAAATAAAAGTGAATAAATCTTAAAAATAAATAAATAGATAAAAATAAAGAGTTGGGTAGAGGGGAGGCATGTGGGGGATGGGCAAAATGGGTGAAGGAGTGTGGGAGGTAGAGCTTCCAGTTACAAATGAGTAAGTTGAAGGAATAAAAGGCAGCATAGGGAATACAGTCTATGATATTGTATAGCGTTGGATGGTGGCAGGTGGTAGCTGCGTTTGTGGTGGGCATAGTATAACTATAGAGATGTTGAATCACTATGTTGTACACCTGAAACTAATGCCACAGTGTCACATACAAATAGAAATGTTTTTTATAAAAAGAGTTGGCCAGGGGGGTGCCTGACTGGCTCAGTCGGTAGATCATACAACTCGATCTTGAGGTCGTGAGTTTGAGCCCCACACTGGGCATAGAGCTTACTTTAAAAAAATTAAACAAATAACAAAGGAGTTTGGGCTGAACTGTTTCCCCTGTCATTTACCTGCTTGCTTGGCAAGTCACTTGCTGTCTCTGAGCAGTTTCCTAACCAGTAAAATGGGAAAAATAAATGTCTCTTGGGGTTGACATGAGCATTAAATGAGATAACAGTACACATTATTATCCCCGTTTTGTCGAGGAGGAAAACTAGACCCAGAGGAGGGAAGTGATTTGGCCTGAATGTAGAGCTGGTGGGTGATAGGTGAGGAGCTCGCAGGGGGTTGCCCCTTGGCAATGCTTCTTTCAGCATGATGTAGACCCGATCAGTGTCTTTGTGCCTGCCTACCCCACCACTCCCTTCCATCCTCTACCTTCCCTAGGGCTCTGAGTCTCCCCGCTGTCCAAACCCAAAGCACACCAAGGTAGTAAGGTTCCCCCCAGAGCACGGGACGCCCTCTCCCCAGCCCCCACCCTGCTCCCCTCCTGGGGCCATGATGCTGTCTTGCTTTTGCTTGTAATAAAGAAAATATCTCAGCTACCCTTCCACAGTTGCTTGGCAACCCCAAAGGAGGGTGGGGGGAGCCAAAGGGAGGAGGGAAGGGGGAGGACTCTGGAGCCAATCTGGAGACAAAGAGTAGGATTTCGGTGACACACGGAGCCGTTCTTAGTGCTAACCTGGCCTGGCTGGGAGGCTGGTGGGGTGGGGGCTTCCTCCCACCCCAGCCGCTCACACCAATAAATATGCATTAGGGAAGTGGGCAGAGTTTTTCCCACAGACCTGAAAGGCCACAGCTGACCTTTTTACCCTCTTTATGTACCAATGTGACAGTCAGAGAGAGCAAAGAGCAGGACCCCCTGAGATGCCTCCCCCCTGGCCTTCTGACTTGGGGAAACTTTTCACCCTCCTCCTTTCCCTGGCCCCAGACCAGGTCACAGCCTTGCCTGGGCTCCTGTCACAGGGATTTCAGGTGGGAGTCAGGAGCTCCCAGCTTCAGGATCTGCCTCAGGCCCTGTCCACTTTGGTGGCAGAGAGCCAGGCATGAGGCCCTGGCTCAGCCTGCAAAGGCTCTCCCTGCCTTCCGGGGCCAGTCTCTGCCTGTGGCTCCCCATACTGTGCCCCTCCCCACCCCACCTCTGCCTGGGGCCTCCTCCCTGAGGAGCCCTTTGCTCTGCCAGTCCCCTTCCATGGTCCTCTGCTCCTCTTCTCTTTCCCGGCCTCATTTCATGTCCCTCTTTTCCCGCCACACACTCCTCCATATGGTTTCCCTCTTCCCCTCTTCTCCTTTGGGGGCCCCTTCTCCCCTGCCACCCCTACTTCACCAGCACTCCCCTTTGAAAACTAGAAAGTCCTGGAAGATGCCATTTCCCTGAAATGAAGATGGCATTTGGGGGTTGCAAAGGAGGGAGGGTGGGGGCGGTGATCTCTCTCCCTGGTGCCCTGGCTTGCTGGCCAGTGGCCGGGGGTGGAGAAAGTTCTCTCTGAATGGAGTCAGTGTAGAGACAGGAAAAGCAAACACCTCAGCCTGGGCCAGGCTGGCCTGTTTGGGGGTGGGGGTGGGGGGGCAGGATGGGCAGGGGCCTGGGCTCATCTTTGCCTCTCCTGGCTCCTGAGGGACCCTGGCTTCCTGGCTCCCTGGCACCCAGCATCCAGAAAGTAAGTGGGTTTAGGGGCTGTGGACAAGCCCTCTAGGACATACCTTCACCCAAATCTTTTCTGGCCCCGCTGCCCAACCCCCTAGCTGGTGCCCTTCCTGCCAGGCAGATGCCAGGAAAATCTGTGCCTGGGAAGGAAGGTCTGGCACCTGAGGGCCTGCTTGACCAGCCCTTCCAGCAGCAGGAACTGCGTAAGAAGTTACCGTGTGCCAGAGACAGTCCCAGCAGTGCCATCTGCCTCCCAGGGCTGAGGGGACCCCAAGATGCTCTGCCCAGGTGAGTTCTCCTCTGGCCCCACAGCCAGATGGTGAGGGACGGGGAGGCTGGTATCACCCCTCAGCCCCCAGGAATCTATGACATTTTCCACTATGCTTTCTCACTCTCCGTCTGTGGTACATGTGTCGCTGGTACTTGGGTGAAAGGAGCCAAGGGGAAGGATGGTTAGAGAAGCTGGAGGTGAAGTCTGAGGTTGAAGGGAGACAGGACGGGCTGGAGTCTGGGGAGCAAGTCTCTTGGGCTCCAAACCAATTTTTTTATTAGACTTGTGGAATCACAGAGGCTCCTGTGATAGTCTCCTTTGGACACTTTAGATCCTAAAAGACTCTTGGAATGAACTCAGAAAGGGGCAGCAACTCTTCCTGCGTGACACAGCAAGTTGGCAGAGCTGGGACTCAGACCCATCGGGCTCCCTTACCAGGCTGAGAGCAGTACCTGTTGACATTATGGGTGCCACACGCTTGACCACCTCTCCTTTGCATTCCACATATACTTTGGTGCCTCTGGAGTTAAGTAGTGGAGAGGGACAGACTCTGAACAGCACCCCACAGGGCCGCCTTCCTTTCCTGTCCTCTCCCAGGGCGGGGTACCATGCCCAGGGCTGGGCAGCCCCTGACTGCCCCTGAGAAGCCACGGTTGGTCTTTGCCTTACAGGTCCCAGAGAACAGGGCCCCCTTTGCTCTCAGTGTCTGACCATAATCCCTTATACTGTAATCAAAATACAACCATTTCCTGGAAAGGAAGGCTGACCTAGAGATGTCCTCGCCATTGGACGTGGCTGCAAGGATCTTGCTGATAGCAATGGGCAGCCCTCACTGAGCCAGGTGCCGTTCTAAGGCCTTCTGTGTAGCTTACAGAATGGTCACCACATTCCTACAAGGTGAGTTCGGTTTTACAGGTTGGAAAACTGAGGCACAGAGTATTGCAGTAACTTGTCCATCATGGACATACTATCAGGAAAAATCAGAGCGGGGATTAGAACCCATTGCCTGGCTCCCTTAAATGTTCTATCCTGCTTCTAATTCCTCAGAGGTCTCCACTAGAGGTCATTTTGTCCAATCCCCTGCATCTGGGTGTCTGCCCAGGCCAACCTCTGTTCACAGACAAGAATCAATCTCGTTTTTTAAAAGCACCTGCTCCAAGGGTAGAATTCCCCCTGGGGGTAATCAGACATTTATTTATTCATAGCCTTCTGGCCAGGAGGAGAAGCCCTCCCACCCAGAACTCCCCAGGGTCCAGCTGCCTCTTTGCCTCTCTCCTTCTCACTGCAGTGTAATCAGAAGTGAGCCAGTCCTGTCTTGTCTCAGCTCCACAGACTCCAAGCTGTGTGGCCCTGGACAAGTGACTTACCTTCTCTGAGCCTCAGTTATCAACTGTCAACTGGAGTTCATGATATACCTGTTTTGTGAGGTTGCTGAGAGTGATATGATCAAAGTGATCAAAGGGAATGACAAGACTGTATTTTCAGGGATCATTTCTATAGTTTGTTACTGGTGAAGTTTCTCTGAACATCTAGAGCCTCAGAAACCATGAGGAAGGCGCAGTATTCCCTCCTGGGTGTGATGCCAGCTCGTGGTGTTGCTTCTGCAACTGCCATTTGTCATAGATAATTGTCCTTCTCTTCCTTTGGGAGAGCAAGAGGGAGAGGATGGCGCTGAGTGGTCTCTGTTACTTAAAAAAAAAAAAAAAAAAAAAAGACGAAGGCCAGAAAGAGGTTAGTGATTACAGTACCTGGCACCTGCGAAGTGCCCAGAATTAAAGGAGTAAATACTTCTCACTATCACTATATTGTCATCATCATCATTATGGAAATCCCTCTGTTTGCAAGCTCAGAGCCTCATGCTTTGGGCCTTTAGGGTTAGCCTCCTTATTGTAATAAGACATGGAAACTGAGGCTCAGAGTGAAGAAAGATTTGCTCAGGGTCACATGGCAAATTGGTGGCTAAGCAGAAAGTGGCTCTCAGCAGCCCCCACCTCCTCCACAGTGGTATCCCCATCACTTCTCCTTTGCCCCCTCTCCCCAGCTCTGGCCCTCCTCTGGGGAGTGCAGGGTCAGGCCCTGGCACCCAGTCCCTCCCAGGAAGAGCCAGGGAGAGAAGTGGTGGCCCTGCTTGGAAGAGTAGGCTCAGAAGCCCGGCGCGTTCTCAGCCCTGGCTCTTTGTCTGCTGCTTTGTGATGGTAAGTGCCGCTCCTAAATCAGTTCTGTGACACCGTTATTGTTGCCCAGCCCGCAAAGAGTCTAAACTTTTCCCCTGAGGTCAAGAATGTGGCCGGTCCCCAAGCCGCCAGGAGCAGGGGCCTGGGTGGCTGGGGGTGGGGCTGGGGCCTCACCCCGAGCCGGGCGAGATGTGGAGGGGAGGGGGTCAGCGGGAACAAAACGCTTTGAAATGCCTCCTCTCCATCACTGCCAACATTGTCCGCTGCCCGCGGGGGGCCTGGCACCGCCTCGCCGGGGCTCCGGCCCCCAGCCCTGGCCAGGCCCGGCCCAGCTTCTGAAAATGGACAGAAGGCTATTGTCCCTCTTCGAAGTCCTTTGTCTGCCCCAGTTCCAGATGTCTAGGCTGGGACCAGGGAGCTGACCCATGGTGGGCAGGGGGGAGAGGACAAAAGGGGAGAGCACGGGTCACTGCATCCTGAGGGGTCGTTCCCAGACCCTGAGATCCCACCCAGCCGTGGCCCAGTCACCTTCTGGGCCGTCTCAGCTCTGGGATCGTCCCTATTCCTTGTCCCTCCTCCCCTTCCCACCAGACCAGGTTCCTGCCTCAGGAGGGAAGGCCACAGGGGTGCAGGAGTTAAGAGCTGGATGCCTTGGGATCCCCACAGCTCTACCCTAGTCATTGTGATCTTGGGCATGTTGTATCCCTCTTTCGGCTTGCCGTCCCCATGGAAGTTCCACAAACCAGAGTTCATTGATTCACAAGTAGCAACAGAGCCCTCCTGTGTGCCAGCTCCGTGCTGGGTGTGGGGGTGCATGGTGCTGGATGGGCCACTCAGACCCTTCCAGAATGAGGTTAGTAGTCTGTTAGTAAGGGGTAACATTCCACCCAAATTCTCCGTGTTGGGTACTGGGCCAGCCACCTCACCTGCATGATCTCATCCTTTTTACAACAAAATCAAGGATGCAGAATATTGTTCTGACACCCATTCCCCAGCTTTGGACATGGAGACTAGGATGTCAAGTCACTTGCCCGAAGCCAGGCTGCTGGAAACAGCAAAGCCGGGATTTTAGCCCAGGTTGACCCACAGCCACCGAGAGGAATGATCTGCTAATGAATACTTGGAAGGTACAGAACACAGAGCTTGGCACTGCTCCGGGAGCTGGTGGTATTAACTCCACCCATCAGTTATCCCATTTCTTTTTTTTTTTTAATATTTTATTTATTTATTCATGAGAGACACAGAGAGAGACAGAGACATAGGCAGAGAGAGAAGCAGACTCCCTGCAGGGAGCCTGATGTGGGACCTGATCCCAGGATCCCAGGATCATGTCCCAGACTGAAGGCAGACGCTCAGCCGCTGAGCCACCCGGGCGTCCAGTTATTCCATTTCACAGATGGCCCTACTGCCGATGCTCAGACCAGGAAAAGAAAGTGGGGGTGGGGAGCAAGGAGCTGGGGGAAACTGAAATAGCACCACTACCACCAACTCGGAATCGGGGAACCACCAGGGCTTGCCAAGGAACGGCAGGCAGGCAGGCAGCCCAGTTCTGTGCGGGCTTGAGCAAGCAACTTAGACTTGCCATGCCTCTGTTTCCTCATCTATGAAATGAAAATCTTCCCTACTTCATGGGCACAGTTGCAAAATTAAATCAGATACCACATTTAAAGCACTTAGCACAATGCCTGGCACTCAGCAGGATGTTCTTGATAGCTACTACTACTATTATTCTGAAGGGGGCTCTCATTTGTCCCTTTGAACCCCTCTCACCTGGGGTCACCTGAGGACTAGGCTCTGTTGAGGGGAGGGGGTGTCAGGTTAGCAATTGTTGAGGGGGTTGGGGAGAGCAATGCCTGGTCTTCTTGGGGTCTCTGGAAGTCTCTCAATAGGCTACTCCCAGGGGCCAGGCAAGGGCATGATGTAGGGAGGAGCTGGGCCCAGAGGAGTTAACAGCTCCCAGGCCCAGGCCCAGCAGGGCTGCCACGCTGCAGCCACAGCCACAGCAAGGATTTTAGCAGAGGAGCCAGGACTTCTTCCTGATGGGCAAAACAGCTGGCTGCCTGGGGAAAACAGCTGGCCTGGCCCCAGCTTCCTGAGGACTGAGGCAGAGCCTCAGAGGAGGGTAGCTCTACATCTGGGGTCCTGGGAGACGAGGGCATGGCCAAGAGGGAGAGGGTGGTCCTCTGGAGACAGTGTGGGCGTTGGGTGGGACCCCTGGAGGCGAGGGGGTGTGGGCAGATTCCTAGAGCCAAAGCCAAGGTATGCTAGGTCTAAGCAGAATGGGCAGAGTGATTCCAGCTGGGCAAGGGGTCTCAGTCTCCCCACAAAGAGGAAAGATGAGGAGCAGGGGAGCCGATGGGGGTCAAGCTTGCACTCAGTCCTGGGTCTTCTTGGAACCGGGCTTGGAATCTGAGCTAGGAAGGAACCCAGGCGGGTCTCCTGGACTCCTATCTGCCGAGCTGCACCCAGGACCAGGAGCAGGGCATGGGCTCTTCCTCTGGCCAAGATGCTGGGCTCCCTTGACCACAAAGCAGGACAGGGGCCCAGAGAGCCCCCAACCCAGGAGTCATGAAGCTGGCAGCTGGTAAGAGCTCCATCCATGCATTCTCTCCGCTGTGCGCCCCTGTTCCTAGCTTGCTTGGCTGCCAGGCTGTGAGGACCCCCAACCTTGGGGCTCTGTCTGGGCCCCAGGGTACCTCTAGGCTGCCCCCACCCATTGGCAGGGAAGCAGTACCTGAGACCTCACATGAGGTTGGGTAGGGTAGACAGAGGGTTAATACGGGTATAACCAGAGTCCAGTGGCCAGAGCCGCCTGCCTGGGCTTCTGACCCCCAAGCCCCACAGTCCAGACACCCCTAATTTCTTTCTGACCAAGGGGGCTTCTCTAGCCCACCTTCCTAACCCCCAGGGAGAGGGGGTTGGCCCCTCCCTGGGGTGTGCCAGCCTCAGTGCTTCTCTCCCTATTGAAAGCCATCCCTCAAAGACTTTGCCAGTGAGCAGGCCTCAGAGCAGAGGCTCCCAGCGGGGAAGAAGGTGCAGGGGAGGGGGACAATTCTTCCGGGGTCTCTGGGTCCCAATGCCAGACCAAAGGTTGAGGCGCTGGCGCCACCACCTGGCTCTGGCTAGAACCACAGTGGCTGAGGGACAAGAGTGAAGATGCTGTTTTGGGTGGGGTGAGGATGACCCAGAGCCTAGTTAGATGTTGGTTCAGGGTGGTTTGGACCTATTCAGCCAGATGGGCCCAGACCATCATTTTTTTCCAGGCGTATAATCTATATTACGTGGAGAATGAAGCCATAGGCCCCTTAGAACAGCTGCTTCAAACTTCAGCCTACATCAAAATCACCTAGAAGCCTTCTTGGTTTAACCTCCACTCCAGTTTCTGATTCAGTAGGTGTGGGGAGGGGCCTAGGAATTTGCATTTCTAACAATTTCCAGGTGAGGCTGATGCTGGCTGGTCCAGGGACCATACTCTGACAACCACTGCTTTAGTGTTTCTGTGAATTTGGCCCAATATTACCTTTGTAGAGGATGTCCTATTTTTGTATTTTGGAGCAAAAAATGAGTGGAAGTGGCAGTACAGGTGTATGATCAGTTCACCATAGTTATCTCCCACCCCCCATACTTCTATTGAGAGCCCACCCTATGTCCTGCTGGCCCTGCTCTAGGGCTGGGGATAAAATGGTAAATGAGATGGATGGGTCCCTGCCTCAGAGCTTACAGCCAGGCAGCTGTGGCATGTGATCTTCCCACCTGGGAGTCTTTTTTTTTTTTTTTAAGATTTCATTTATTTATTCATGAGAGACACAGAGAAAGGAGCAGGCTCCATGCAGGGAGCCCAATGTGGGACTCAATCCTGGAACTCCAGGATCACGCCCCGAGTGAAGGCAGGCACTTAACCGCTAAGCCACCCAGGTGTCCCCCCACCTGGGAGTCTAAAAGGCAGCTCAGAATAAGGTCCAGACAAACCCTGAGTCACATTCCACCAGCTTCTTCCCAGATCTTTCCCACTCAGTAACTAGCCCACCAGGCAGTCTAGCTGCAAAGCCCATCACTTCTATTCCTTGCTCTGTCTCCCACATGTAATCCCACAAGCCTGAAGGGGCTCTCCTGTTTCCATCCTTGCCCCCACAGTCCACCCTCCATGTGGCAGCCAGAGCAATCCTTTTAGGACAAATCACTTGACTTCTCTGCTTACCCCCTATAGTGTGTTCCTATTGCATTTAAAAAACATCCAAAATCCTGTCGCAGCCTCAGGGCCCTAGGTGATCCTCACTTCTTCCCACACTCCCCTAGCTCCCTGGGCTCTAACCACTGGCCTCCCTGCCTGTTCCATCCCTCACCCACCGCGAGACCTTCGCCTGACCTGGTCCCTCCAGTGGAACATTCTTCCCCCAGTACTACTCTTGGCTGGCTCCCCTTGTGCCCTGAAATAGCTTCCCTGACTCTTCTTTTTTTTTTTTTTTTTCTTAAGATTTATTTATTTATTTATTCATGATAGACACACAGAGAGAGAGAGAGAGGCAGAGACACAGGCAGAGGGAGAAGCAGGCTCCATGCAGGGAGCCTGATATGGGACTCAATCCTGGGACTCCAGGATTGTGCTCTGGGCCAAAGGCAGGCGCCAAATTGCTGAGCCACCCAGGGATCCCTTCACTGACTCTTCTACTCAACGTTGCCTCACACTCTCAGCTACTCTCTGTTCTTATTAACTGGTTTTATGCCATTCATAGCATTTACCCTTCTTTGAAGCTATTTATTAATTTATCAGTATGTGTCCCCTCACCGGGATGTGAGCACCCTAGAAGCAGATACTGTCTTGTGCACCTTCCAGCTGCACATTTAGTGAGCATGTGCTCAATAAATACTTGCTGAATGACTGGGATTATATAGGACGCCACGTCAAGGGTATGTCCCCCAGACATGACATGCAGAAGGATTTCCAGAAGAAGGAAGTTTAGACTGAGACTGGAGGGCCTGTGGGAGTTGGCCAGAAAGACCAGTTCAGGCAGAGAGAAGAAACAGGGGTGGTGGGGGCGAGGATATGGGACAGTCCTAAAGCACAGAGTGTTCAGGAAACTGTACCTCGCCCAAATCGGCTTGAGCATCAGATTGGTTGGGGTTGGTGGGGAGTCAGAGGCATTGGAGAAACATCATGGAGACCATGCAGGGCCTCGGTGCTCCTGAAGGGGTTTGAACCCTACGGTGGGTGACAGCAGCAGGCAGTCCCTGAAGGATATTGACCCCAGGCGTTTAGAAAGGGTGGCTGAGTGCAGAATGGTTTCCAGGGAGAAATCGTGGGGAGCAGGTCTCTGGGAGACCCTGTGGGCCCGGTGAGCAAAGCTGGTGCCCTGAGCCAGGCAAGTAGCAGTGCAGAAGCAAAGAGGTGTCCATGTGCCAGAGATGCGGAGGAGGTGGGCCTGCCAGGATAAGGTGATGCAGTGGGTTGAAAGAGGGACATGTCCTCAGTGACCCCCAGCTGTCTAGCTCAAGGGGCCAGGTGGCCAAGGTGCCGTTTGTTAGATTGGGGAGGCCACCAGACGGGGAGCATGTCTGGGGGAAAGGTTGGGGTTCTGTTTTGAACAGGTGGAATTTTCGGGTGCCTGGCTGGCTCAGTCAGTAGAGCATGTGACTCCTGATCTGAGGGTGATGAGGCTGACCCCCCGCTGGGTGGAGAGTTTACTTAAAAAAAAAAAAAACTGTTGGAATCTGCGTCCAAATGGGCAGTGGAGACACATGTCAGTTTTCTAGAAAGAGAGTGGCCCATGTGCTCTGCCGCTGAAAGCGAGCCCTCTTGGATGAGGAGGCAATGTCCACTGAAGGGGGTGACCAGGAGGATCCTGGTGTTGGCAGGAGCAGTCTGGTTACAGCAGCCTTGGTGTGTGTCAAGCCATGAAGGGAGATGAAGGAAGGTCTCAATAAAGCAAAGCACACATCCCCATTCCAGATGTTTGGAGGGAGAGACAGATAAGGCTGTGGCTGGGGGGCCAGCAGGCAGCTTGGTGTTTTCGTATTTTAAGCTGGGGAAGATTTAAGTCCTTTGGAAGGTCAAAAATTGTGCAGCCCGGGTGGCTCAGCAGTTTAGCACCGCATTCAGCCCAGGGCATGATCCTGCATGGAGCCTGCTTCTCCCTCTGCCTGTGTCTCTACCTCTCTGTGTCTCTCATGAATAAATAAATAAAATCTTAAAAAAAAAAAAAAAGGAAGGTTAAAAGGAGCACCCAGAGGAGAGGGGGCTTCTGATGGTCCAGGAAGGGCAAAGGGATGGCATTTGGAGCTTAGGGACCATTCAACCGTGAGGAAGGGTGGTGCCTCTTCCACTGTACCAGGCAGGAGAACTGGGGCAGACTTGGGGGGCCAGGGATGGAGGTTTGTAGGCTGGAAATGAGAGGTCCGAGGTGAGGGCTTCTCTTTTCTCCAAAAAGTAGCATGGGAGCTTCAGAAGCTATGAAATGCCACAGAGGAGAGGGGGCAGGGGCATAGGAAAACTGGACCGTGGGGCCTGGTCAGAGTCCAGCTGAGAGTGGAAGTTCTGAGTCTGCAGTAGCCCCACTGTGCCAAAAACCAAGATGGTTATAGGGTTTTCCCAGGCAGGGATGATGGGAGAACCCACAGGCAAGGGAGGCAGTGACAGGATGGATTGATCACTGGATGGCATGGGGAAGGAGGAGGGGGACAGTGAGAGGCATTCAGGGAAGGAGAAGGAGGAGGATGAGGACTTGAGGCCAGAGAAAAATTTGGAAGCACCAAAATTTGGCGCTGGGATGACTCTGGGATGGGTAAGGTGGGGCACACTGCTTCACTTTAGAAAGGGAATCCCCATTCTGGGGCTGCGAGTGCCTTCTGGGCAGAGGCTACCATGCCAGGGAAGGGACTCTTCTACTGGGCCTCAGGCCTTTCACTGCAGGGCCACTAGCCACCTAGAAGCTTTGACTGGGGCCCAGTGGAAGCTTGGGAGCCTCGCTGAAGACCAGGATTCCTGGGTTTGATGCCCCTACAGGCTGTGGCGTCACCAGGCAAGTCCATTCCTTGCTGGTTCCCCACCCCTCCCCTCCCAGCAGAGATAGTGGGCACAGGTCTTCTTCTCTGACCCTGGGAAGAGCCTGAAGGGAGATCCAAAGCTGCCATAGGAAAGTAGGCCTCCCGGTGGGTGGGTGAATGGAAGGGGAGACTGGCTTCCTCTGCATTCCTATCTTCCAGCCCCAGCAACTCTTCCCAGGATCAGGCTCCATGCAGAGAGAAGCTTCAAGAGTGTTCATTCTCTCAAGGCATCCCTGCAAACCCACCCAGACGAGGATCAGAGGCTCAGGGAAAGTGGCCTGTGATCACAGCAGATCCGGAGCTGGAGCCCGCCTGTAGGCCCCTCCCTTCCGTGCCTTTCACATTTCAGCAGGGGCCGCGTGGGAGGCCATACCTCCGGCTTTGGACCGGGCTGGCTCATGCTGCGAGCCCTGTGGTGCCCCCTGGGTCTGCACTCAGCCTGAGGTTGGATTTGCTCTCTTAAAGGGCCGGAGCCGCGCGGGCGCTGGCGGCAGAGGCGACGACGTCGACGCGCGGAGGACGCCCAGCTCGAGGCGCCGCGGGATGCAGCACTCAGGTCGGGGGGACCCCGGGACTCCCGCCCCGCCCCCCCGCCGGGCGTCGCCGCGCAGGTCTGCGAAGTTTCGCGTGGGTCCGCCAGAGGGCGCCCCGGGGCGGAGGCGGGGCGGGAGCCGGGAGCCCCCCGCAAGGGCTGCGGCGGGTCAGTCCCGCCCCGCGGGGCTGCGGCTCCCCCCGAGGGTCGGAGGCTGGCCGGGCGGTCCGGACTCGAGGGCATCGGACGCTCCGTGGAGCCGGTTCCGGGGGATGAATGCGCCGGGCTTCAGAGTGGAGCGTCCTCAGCCGCCGTGGCGGCTCGGATGCCGTCTCCCCGACCGACCCTCCTGTCCCCCCTCCCCGCCGCCCGCGCCCAGCCGGGAGGGGACTGCCCCGGGGTCACGCGTCGGGAGGGTCTCCGGGCCCCGGCCCCCGCCGCCCTCTGCCGAGCGGACACTTGGGAATCCGCGCGGAGCGGGTGGGGGGGGGCACAGGAGGGGAGGGTCCCCGGTCTCCGGGGGGGCGCCGCCCCTGCCGTCTCCCGCCGCCTCGGCCCCGCCCCGGCCCCAGGCCCCGCCCCGGCCGGGCCGCACCACCCACTCCCCTCCGCCGGGCCCGAGCCCCGGGGGCAGCCGCGGCCGCCGCCCGAGCGCCCGCCATGCCTGTCGCCCCCGCCGCCCGGCTGCTCCGGCTGCTGCTCCTGCTGGGGCCGTGGCTCCTGGCTGCGGGCGCCGTGGAGCCGCCGCTGCCCGCCGTGGTCCTTACCATCCTGGCCCGCAATGCCGAGCACTCGCTGCCCCACTACCTGGGCGCGCTGGAGCGGCTGGACTACCCCCGGGCCAGGCTGGCCCTCTGGTGAGAGAGACCGCGCATTGGCACCCTCTGGGCGTGTACCCCCGGCCCCACAGAGAACTCCACTCCCGAGGGCCCCATCCGCTCAGTCCAGACACCACCCAGACGGGCCCCTCCCCTGGCAGACAGGCCCTGTAGGGCCCTGAGCCCCTGCACGGGACCCTTTATCCCCTTGGCCCAGCAGGGTGACCTCTGAGGCCTTAGGTTGACGCCGGAACACTCACCCCGGCTCTTACTCCTTCTCTGGGGACCTCCTCTGGCTTTAAGTTGGGTCCTCTTGCCCCAGCCTCAGAGCCCAAGCCGAAGACCCCCTCCTTCCCCCGTGGGCCCTGTGGTTGCCTTGACCTAGCTGGAGGGCAGCAGGCAGGAGCAGCTGCCGTGCCCTGGGTCCCCACGAGGCAGAGATCAGCAGAACTGGGGGTTCCCGGGAGCAGGTGAGTGTGCTGTCTGGCTCCATGCTTCTCTGCAGAGGGGGTCAGACCTGCTCTTCCTTCTCTGGGCTGTTTCCAGCCTCCCTGTGGAAGGTCTGGGTCCTGCCAGCCAAGGGCAGAGCCCCTCCCCTAGAACCTCCCTGCTGGGTGTCCCCACAGGGTCCACTGGGATCAGAGGCCCTGGTCTGTGGAAGCCAGAAGAGGGAGGAGTCCCAAGCTGAGGCTGGGGATAAATTGAGAGGATTGACAAACTAACCCGCACAACACACCAAAGTTGGGCCGGGGGTGGAGCCGTGGCCTGAGCCGAGGCCTGAGCCATGGCCTGGGGAGGCTGCCCACAATTACCACAGTTTGAGAGTTAGTTAGTTCCCACCCCTACAAGACTTGACACGTAGTTAGTCTTCACTTCTGGGGAATTGGCTTAAAGGGGCAGTATCACCTAGAACTTGGGATCTTGGCTAAGCCCTCTGCACCCGCCCTCTGTCTTGGGAGCCCCTTCTGCAGAGGAGCAGGTCTGCTCTGTGGCAGCAGAGCTCAGGCCCATCAGCACTTCTCAGGGATGTTTCGAGTAGGGTTTGGTCCTTATTACAACTTTCAGGCAGAGGCAAACAGCATCTCTTCGGTCCAGTCCTGACTCGGAGAGGGGAAGGGACTGACCTGTGGTGTCCTGGCAAGGAAGGAAGGTGTCCAGGGTGCGTGGCTGGTGTGTTCCTCAAAGCTGAGGGACTTTGTCTTTCACGTGCATTCATGTTCTGCTGTCTCAGCCCACCTTATACTTACGGAGGGAGAAAGTGAAGCCTAGAGATGGACGGGACTTGTGACTGGGACCCCGGTGCTTGCCTAACTCTGTAGCACACCTCCCTCCCCTGCAGCACCCAAATGTCCAGCCTCACAGGGGCTGGTGCTCCAGGGGTCAAGGCCACCTTGGGGTTTGGCCCTTTTGTGGCTGTGCACCTCCCCCTCACCCTTCTTCCTCCCATGTCCCCAGGTGTGCCACAGACCACAACACAGACAACACCACGGAGATGCTGCAGGAGTGGCTAGCTGCTGTGGGTGATGACTATGCAACTGTGGTCTGGAGGCCCGAGGGGGAGCCCAGGTGGAGATTGAGGGGAAAGGTTTTTGGGAAAGTGGGCAACAGCTGCAGCCCTGAACCACCACCTCCAGCCCAGGGCTCTGTCTGCTGCCCTGCAGAGGGGGGGGGGGGAACCACATGCACCTGCCCCCTGGGAACTTCTCATCTCTTTACCCTCTCAGGTCCTACCCAGATGAAGAGGGTCCCAAGCATTGGACCAAAGAAAGGCACCAGTTTCTGATGGAGTTGAAACAGGAAGCCCTGACCTTTGCCAGGGACTGGGGGGCTGATTATATCCTGGTAAGAAAGCCTGGCTAGGATGAGGTTTCTCATAGGTGGTGGTATCTGTCCCTGACAGAAATCTCAGTGTGACTTAACTGCCTGTAGGCTAGACTCTTCAGCTAGCAAACTGGGTCAGAATCCAGACTGATATTGAGCTTAGATCCCTATGCTTGAGCTCAGATTAGCTATGAAGCCTGGATCCCTGAGACAGATTGCAGGTTGAATACTGAGCCTAAGTTCCTGGGCTAGAGCCCAGAGTATAAACTGAGCTTGGTTCCCCAGACTAGAACTCAGAGTAGGTCTTTGGCTTTACTCCCTAAGTCAGATCTAGAATCAAGCTCTTAGATCAGCAACTTGAGTCTAATCTCTGGTCCTGATTGCAGGTCCAGTGCTCCAGACTAGATCCTTGGTCCAGAAACAGACCTACTGGTTTATGGGTTAGAACTTTCTAACAGAACCCCATTGGATCCCAGGATACATGTGGGATCTCTGACCATCTAGAGGGATCCCACTCAGTGACTTCTTGGGGGTACAGCCCAGACAAGGCTGGCATCTGTGACAACCCCTTCCCAAAAGTTTGCAGATACAGACAACATTCTGACCAACAACCAGACACTGAGGCTTCTGATAGAGCAGGGGCTGCCTGTGGTGGCCCCAATGCTGGACTCTCAGACTTACTACTCCAATTTCTGGTGTGGGATAACCCCCCAGGTAAGGCTGAGGATGGAAACCTTGGGGTGCGGGTTATGGCAGGGGAGCAGTGTTCTGGGGACAGAGGGGCGCCATCATAGTTCAGAGCAACCCCTTTCCCCAGGGTTACTACCGCCGCACCGCCGACTACTTCCCCACCAAGAATCGCCAGCGCCGGGGCTGCTTCCAAGTCCCCATGGTCCATTCCACCTTCTTGGTATCCCTGCGGACTGAAGGGGCAGCCCAGCTTGCCTTCTACCCCCCGCATCCCAACTACAGCTGGCCCTTCGATGATATCATCGTCTTCGCTTATGCCTGCCAGGCTGTTGGTGAGGACAAGCTCTCCGTGAGCATTCCTGAGGGTTTCTAGGTCTTTGCACATGCTGTTCCCTCTGCTTTGCATACCCTTCCTCAGTTTCCAGTCCATCCTGTGAAACTCTTGTTTGTCTGGGTCATAGCTTTTCTTGAGCCTACTACCCCGGAAAGCTAAATGCCCTTCTTCTGGCTCTCCATCATGGCACTTTAATGTATTCCTTAATGTATTTGGCAAATATTTATGGAACATCTACCGTGTGTCAGGCACTGAGAAGATAGTGGTGAGTAAACTCAGGTGGTTTCTGCCTTCCTGGAACTTCCAGTCCCGTCAGTACAAGGATCACACAAATCAGTGTCCAATCACAACCATGATAGGAAGAAATGCTTCTTCATTCCAGATGCTAAGGGAGCTTAGACCAGAGTAGATCTGTCAGGGAAGGCTTCTTGGATGGTGTGAACTTTGAGGCTGAGACCTGAAGTATGGGAAAGCACTAACAAGAGCAAGAAAGAGCATTTTAGGCAACAGGACCAGCAGGTACAAAGGCCCTGTGGTCTCAGGGAACATAAGAAGGCAAGTGATAGGGACACAGTAAGTGAGGGAAGCGAGGTGTGGCACAGACTGAGGCAGGTAGGCAGGAGCCAGCCTGTGTGGAGCTGGCCAGCAAGCTTCTGGTCTTTAGCCTGAGAACATTGGGCTAGCCATCAGAGCAATTGGCTTTGCACACTGAAAAGAACACTCTCGTGTTGGTGTTATTTTTAAGATGAAAATTACTAAAAAAAGAAAGAAAGAAAGAAAGAAAGAAAGAAAGAAAGAAAGAAAGAAAGAAAGAAAGAAAGAAAGAAAGAAAATTACTAGAAAGTGTTTGGGTTGGGCTGGGCGGGGCTGGCTAAATCCAAGTCCTGAGGAATAGAGATAAGAGTGAGATAGAGACCCTCAGTGTTGGGAAGAGGATCTTGGGAGGACTGAACAGGCAAATTCAGGGAGAATGAGAAGTAACGATGTATTTCAGAAGTGTCACACCTGAGCAAGCAGAATGCCTACAGTGGCCAGAGGGGAAAGTGTTGTAATTAGCTTTTTTGTGCAAGAGGTATTGGTGAAGTCTGCCGCAGATGTGCAAGACAAAAAAAAAAATCGTATCAAGTGTAAAAGGTGAGTGAATGGGAAACAAACCCATGGAGAGTCCATGAGAACTGTTCCCTTGTTTTTTGTTTTGTTTTGTTTTGTTTTTTTCATTGCTACCACTACTTCAGGTGTCAGCCTCTGGAAACTGGCCAGCAATTTGAAGGAATTTTGTCAGTGGAGTTTCGACTCCATCTTTCAGGCTTCCAAGCACCCAGCTACTGAGGCCCTGCTCTGGATCAGGCCCTGTGCTCCATGCTGGGCATGGGCTTGACTTTTAAGTAGATACTGCATGCCTATTGCTCGAGAGTTCACAGTATATAGGAGATAAAGGGGAGAGAACTAATGACAATAAAGGGGACAAATATTGAAGAAATAGAAAAGGCCACTGTGGCTGGTGGGTGGAGGGCAGTGCAGAGAGGTGGGAGAGGGTGTGGGGTTGCTCACAGTGGGTGATGGTGCTGGGTTCAGACAGGAGGGGGGGCAGGAATGGCAGGTGGGAGTTTGCTTGTTCCTCCCTTCCCATGATCCTCCAGGGACGGGGCTCTGTCTTACTCACCACCCTCCTCCAGCACCCAGTTGGTGCTCTAGGCACATCTGTTGAATGAATAAACCATCTCGGCAGAAAGGCCCCTTAGATATTGTTTGAATCGAGCCCGTTCTCTGTCCAACCCCATAGATGGAACGCTGAGTCCCAGAGAGGACACCTGCCTTGGGTTCCAAGAGCCCTGCCCCTTATTCCAGCACTCCCTGGGCCTCTCTCCACAGGGGTTACGATCCATGTGTGCAATGAGCACCGTTACGGGTACATGAATGTGCCTGTGAAACCCCACCAGGGGCTGGAGGACGAGAAGGTCAACTTCATCCACCTGATCTTGGAAGCGCTAGGTGAGGTCCAGGGTGCTAGCCTGCTGCCACTGTTCCCAGCTGTCCCCTGCACCCCTTCTCCCAGGCCCCGGACCTGACTAGGCTGTGGGCTTGGGGTCCCAGCCTCACCTCTAACTGATTTCCTGACTCTGGGCAAGTCCTTTCCCCCCACTGAGCCTCAGTGTCCCCATCTCTGCAATAGAGGCAGGTGGATTCTGTGATCTCTGAGGGCCCCTTCCTTCTGGGTTTTGGAGGGGGATGCTAGGACTCTAGGGTCACTGCTGACGAGAGCCAGTAGGGATTCCTGACTGGTGGGCACTTCCCTCTGCAGTGGATGGGCCCCCAATGTGGGCCTCAGCTCATGTGTCCCGGCCCCCAAAGAGACCCAGCAAGATGGGGTTTGATGAGGTAGGTTCCCTCAGCTCACATGTTTGGGGTCAGGAGGTAGGTGGGCTCTCCCCTCCTAAGATGCCCACTCCTCCTGCACCTACCTTCCCTGCCTCCTCCCCCAGGTGTTCGTCATCAGCCTGGCCCGCCGGCCCGACCGCCGTGAGCGCATGCTAAGCTCACTCTGGGAGATGGAGGTGTCTGGGCGGGTGGTGGATGCTGTGGATGGCCGGTGAGGCTCCCTGGGGCGGGGCCCTGGGCAGCTGGGGGAGCACATGGTCCACTGGAGCCCCCTAGGAATGGGGAAAGCAGACAAAGGAGTTGAGTGAGTTTGGTGCTCCCAGGAGGTGCTCAAACAGGGCCTGGGTAATTCTGTCTTAGAGAGTCCCAGGGCAGATTGAAACAGGACAGGATGGCCCCTCATTGGCCTACCAGAGGGAGGAGAGCACAGTGGTTAAGGCCACTGGCATCTGAAGCCCTGAGGCTTGCATTCCAGCTCTGCCACTTACCAGCTGGGTGACCTCTGATGAGTCACTGCCACCTCCCAGCCCTGCTGTGCGAGTGGCAGATACTTGTGCCTTCCTCTTAGGACTTAGAAGGGCTCCATGAGGATTTAGCCAGGGCCTGACACATAGTAAGCATTCCAGAGGTTAGGTGTCTTTATTTCTTTATTTTTATTGGGCTTACTCTTCTCTGTCTTGGACTTAGGTCCCGGATGGGTGGGGATGGCAGTCAGGTAAACCTGGGGAGCCAGAAGTCACAGGGCTACACTTGCCCATGGCTGTTGGTCGCTTGCGACCTCAGCCCTGTTGATGGCAGGATGTCCATCCTTTTCTTGGAAGCACGTGCCATGTCCCCCACATTCTTTCTGGGGATCATGCCCCTCAGACGGCTGCCCATGTCCCCATGCTTCTATTCTCTCCCTGGGCGTCCACCCCTGCCTCCGGTGGCTCTGGTTCCCCCAGTTGTCCCCAGTGTCTTCAGGCCACATGAAACCATAACAAAGCTCACACCTTCCAACTATACTCCAGTGTGACTGCCCCCAACAGGCATAGGCCTGGAGCCCCTGGGTGGGTCGCTGGCAGTCACCCCTAGCCCCATGATACCTGTTTCCTTCAGGACACTCAACAGCAGCCTCATGAGGAGCCTCGGTGTAGACCTCCTCCCTGGCTACCAGGACCCCTACTCAGGCCGCACACTGACCAAGGGCGAGGTGGGCTGCTTCCTCAGCCACTACTCCATCTGGGAAGAGGTGAGGACCTCGCCCCTTTGGCCCCCAGAACCCCCCTACCAGAGGGAGAGCAGAGGCCACCCCATTCACTGCTCTGTGCTCAGTGCCCAAGGGAGCCAATGGGTAAATGAATATATTAATGAAGACCTAGCTAGCAGCTTTTTAAAATTTTTAAAAAAGATTTTATTTATTCATGAGAGACACAGAGGGAGAAGCAAAGATATAGGCAGAGGGAGAAGCAGGCTCCCTGTGGGGAGCCCAATGTGGGACTCGATCCCAGAACCCCGGGATCATGACCTGAGCCAAAGGCAGATAGATGCTCAACCACTGAGCCACCCAAGTGCTATATATATATATATATATATATATATATATATATATATATTAAAGATTGTGTTTACTTCTGCGAGAGAGTGAGTGAGAGAGCATGAGTAGGGGGAGGAGCAGAGGGAGGGAGGAGACTCTCCACTAAACAGGGAGCCCGATGTGGGGCTCGATCCCAAGACTCTGGGATCGTGACCCAAGCCGAAGGCAGACGCTTAATTATCTGAGCCACCCGAGCATCCCAGCCAGCAGCTTTATTTTTTTTTAAATGTGAGCTTTTCTTTTTTTTAAAAAAAAAAAAGATTATTTATTTATTTATTTATTTATTTATTTATTTATTTATTTATTCATAGACACAGAGAGATAGAGGCAGAGACACAGACAGAGGGAGAAGCAGGCTCCATGCAGGGAGCCCGATATGGGACTTGATCCCGGGTCTCCAGGATCACACCCCAGGCTGCAGGCGGTGCCAAACTGCTGCGCCACCAGCGCCAGCAGCTTTAAACTTCCTATGTGTTCAACCCTATACCATATTCATTTTGTAGTCTCTACAGATCTCATCCTGTACTCTAGGAGATCTGCTCTGAGACTAGAGGTGAACAATAAAAAGACCTCTCTGGCTCTTTTGGGGCTCAGGGACCCAAAAGAGCAGGTCACAAAAACCAGGGAAGAACCAAGCTTGCCCATAGAGGAGAAATGTTCAGGCTATCCTAGAGTGTGGATTAGCCTGGATTCCTGGCCTGGGGTGGGGTTAGGCTGGGCCTCACCATCAGGGACACTTAAGTAGAGCCTCTGGGCAGCGTAAAACAGTGGGGCAAAGGCCCTGGGGCAGACAGGAGATGTGTGTTCTGGGGTGGGAAGAAGAGGCCTGGGGCTTGGCCCAGAAGCCTTAGCTCAGGGTTGGGGGGTTGTGAGTACCTGTGAGATGTCACTGCCTGGACCCTACTGGAGGGATCAGGGGACTGGCCCTCCAAGGGGCAGGCGCCCCTCCAGGAGGCAGCACCCAGACCCACTCCTTGTTTTTATGTTCTACTGTAGCTAAAATATATGCACGTGAGCTTATATTGCTGTTTATCTTCTACTGTCTTTGAACAGATAGAAGGATGCCTTTCATTTCGGTTTACTGAGCTGATTTCTTTTTTTTTTCTTTAAGATTTTATGAATTTATGCATGAGAGACACAGAAAGAGAGAGAGGCAGAGACATAGGCAGAGGGAGAAGCAGGCTCCATGCAGGGAGCCTGGCGTGGGACTTGATCCCAGGACTCCGGGATCATGCCCTGGGCCAAAGGCAGGCGTTAAACTGCTGAGCTACCAGGCATCCCCCCCCCCCTTTTTTTAAAAAGATTTTTATTTATTTATTTGAGAGAGGGAGAGAGAGAAAGCATGAGCAGAAGGGAGGGGGAGAAAGAGAGGAAGAAGCAGACTCCCCTATGAGCAGGGAGCCCGATGTGGGACTTGATCCCAGGACCCTGAGATCATGACCCAAGCTGAAGGCAGACGCTTACCCAACTGAGCTACCCAGGTGTCCTACTGAGCTGACTTAATGTTCTTTTCACATCTCCAGGAGTTACAAAAATACTTTTTCTTAGGGATCGTAGGGGCAAGGGTCTTCCCCCACCCCTAACCAGCCCCACTTCCTTGAGGAAAGCTCAGAAGGGCAAGTGAGGATCCAGGCCTGGAGTCCAGCAGATGCAGGTCCAGATCCCAGTTCCACTGAGGGCTGTGTCCTTGGACAGGTGGTTGCACCTCCCTGAGTCTCCATCTCCTCACTGTAGTACAGGGCCATCGTGTGTCCTGCCTCCCGAGGGCCCTGGGATATAGCAGCGCTCAGTGAATGCAGCAGAGGTTATAGTTGCTATCACTAGTCTACTTGGAGAGCTGGACTGGGGACCTGGAGGACCTTGAATGCCAGAGCAAAACTTTGGGATTTGAGTCCCCAGGTGGTGGGAGCCCCAGCAGGCTTTAGAGCAGCTGCATGACGTGCCAGGGCTGTCTTTGGCATGTAATGGAGGCCAGGAGAGTCTGTCAGTGTCAAGCAGGTGGAAGGGGACAGCCTGGTTCTAAAGAGCCATCCGGGATGCCCGGGTGGCTCAGTGGTTGAGCATCTGCCTTTGGCTCAGGGTGTGATCCCAGAGTCTGGGGACTGAGTCCCACATCAGGCTCCCTACATGGAGCCTGCTTCTCCCTCTGCCTGTGTCTCTGCCTCTCTCTCTGTGTGTCTCTCGTGAATAAATAAATAAAATCTTAAAAAAAAAATAAAGAGCCATCCCCCTGTGTTGTGTCCCCCCCACACACACCCCCGTCCCCATACCATAGGTGGTTGCCAGGCGCCTGGCCCGCATCTTGGTGTTTGAGGATGACGTGCGCTTTGAGAGCAACTTCAGGGGGCGACTGGAGCGGCTGATGGAGGAAGTGGAGGCAGAGAAACTGCCATGGGACCTAATGTAGGCAGCCTGCGGCTCTGGGGGGTTGGGGGGAAGAGAGGGGAGGCCTCTGGGGCTCTGCCTCCTGCTGGGGCCCTGCCCAGTCCTTCCCCTGAGCCTGGCCTGTGGGATATGATTGGGGAAGGGGTCCTCTGACACCCTGGGACCTGCAGTGACTCTGGGTTTCCCTTGGTGTCACGGTAGCTACCTCGGTCGCAAACAGGTGAACCCTGAAGAGGAGGCAGCTGTGGAGGGGCTGCCACACCTGGTGGTGGCTGGGTACTCCTACTGGACCCTGGCATACGTCTTGAGCCTGGCGGGTGCTCGCAAGTTGCTTGCCTCCCAGCCCCTGCACCGAATGCTGCCTGTGGACGAGTTCCTGCCCATCATGTTTGACCAGCACCCCAAGTGAGTGTCAGATGGGGGCCGGGCAGGGTCAGCTCATCCCAGGAGCCCAGTCTCAAGCATTAAGACCCCTTGCTGAGCAGCTGGGGAGATGGAGGCTGAGTCACTTCCTCAAGGTCATGGAGGCATAGCCCTCCTGGCCCCGGAGTCAGACCAACCTAGGTGTCCATTCTGTGCTGTCCGTGTGGTTCTTAATCAAGCCACTTCCATGTTCTGAGCCTCAGTTTCTCCATCTGTTAAATGAGAGGAGTAGAAACTCTGCTCCTTGCATTTGCTGTGAGGTCTTGATGGGGAAGGCAAGGAGCTGCTTCAGGCAGGTGAGATGCCCAGCTCCAGGCAGGCGTGCAGTGTGGCTGGAGGAGACCCACCTCAGCCCTCCTGAGCCTTCTTTCTGCCTCACAGTGAGCAGTACAAGGCACACTTCTGGCCTCGGGACCTGCGTGCCTTCTCCGCACGGCCCTTGCTCGCGGCGCCCACCCACTACGCAGGGGATGCTGAGTGGCTCAGCGACACAGAGACATCCTCGCCCTGGGACGACGACAGCGGCCGCATCATCAGCTGGAGTGGCTCTCACAAGACCCTGCGCGGCCCCCGCCTGGACCTGGCTGGCAGCATTGGGCACAGCCTCCACCCTCAGCCCCGGGATGAGCTCTAGGTGAGGGCACAAGCCCCGTGTGCCTTGTTTTTCTCTCCCCTTCCAGGCTGTGTCGGGGTCTCTGTGTTCCCTTCTCCCCCTGCCTTCTCTCCTCCCCCCTCTGGCTCTGCTCTGCCTGTCTCTGGCTCCCTGCATTGTCTCTACCTCAAGCTCTCTCTCTCTCTCTCTCTGTCTCTCTCTCTATCTCTGTCTCTGACCTTCTCTGTGTCTTTTTCTCTCTCTGCCTCTGGATATCCAACTCTAGTACTTTCTATTCCTGTCCTCTTGCCTCTTCTGTCCCACCAGGTCCAGGTGACTCCAGAGAAGTGTCCAGGAGCAGGCTGCAGCTGGCCAGGGAGCAGAGTTGGAGATGGCGCTAGGAACCGCCGCCAGGAGCCACAGGCCCCATAGAGACCCAACTGTCACCTTAGGCACAGCTACTCTGCCCTCTGGCCCCATCTCACATCGGGAGAAACCACTCAGAGATGGCTCCCCTCCCTGAAGGTCATGTAGAGAAAGGGCAGGGCTCTCAGGCCCTCTCACCCTGCCCGGCCTAACTCAGGGCCTGGGGTCAAGGGAAAGGGGGGGGCTCCCCAGCCTTCAGTTTCAAGCTGGATAGACACCTGGATCCCTGTCCTCCCCATGGACCCAACTGCTGGGGCCTCTCCATCACCTTCTACCTCCACCTCAGCCCCTCCCCAGTCAACACCTGGGTCTCACCTGCTGGGGCCCATCCTCTCCCCTGGCCAGTGAGATGTGCAGGGAGGTGGGAGGAGGACCCTTGCAGACCTAATGCCCAGCACAAAATAGGCCCTCAATAAAAGCCAGCTGGTATTTGCACTTTATATTTTTAACTCGGATGAGCCTCTGTGTGTGTCACAAGGTCTGGGAGGAGGGCTCCTGATCTACGGATGGATGACCAGTTGGCAAGACAGAGAGGGGCGGGCAACCTGGCATCACCACCTCCTTGCTAGGTGACTTTGGGTGGATCCCATCCTTCCCTGGGTCTTAGTCTGCTTGGTGGTGATGTGGACATGGGAGAGAAGCATGTCATGGGCCGGATGGGTATAGTATAGTCTGGCCCAGAGTCCAGCCCACAGTGAATGCTCACCCTTTGGGACTGTCCTAGGCATCACCAGCCTCACCTTGCCTGGCAGGGTGAGCCCAGACTCAGGGCTGCCAAGCCCCCTCCTCTTTGAATCTTCACTTGTGTGCAGCACAGCCTCCACCCCTAGCCCCGGGATGAGCTCTAGGTGAGGGCCCCAGCCCCGTGGGCCTCAGTTTTCTCTCCCCTTCCAGGCTGTGTCGAGGTCTCTGCTCCCTTCTCCCTCTGCCTTCTCTCCTCCCTCCCTCTGGCTCTGCTCCATCCCTGGCGGGGGGAGGGGGGGATATAGATCCAAAGCTCCCCTCTGGCCCTAACCCATGTAGCCACCAGAGGGCGAAAGAAAGCAGAACATGGTCTTTGTGGGCCAGGGCACCCTCTGCCTGGTGTGGGGCCCGCGAGGCAGAAGGGAGCGGAAGTGAGCCTGGGGCCTTTGGAATCTGCCCCCAGTGCTGCTGCACTACCTACAGCAGCTGCACCATCTTCTGCTCTCCTGCTTGGGAACTGCTGGCCTTCCTCTCCATCACCCCTCCATAGGGTCAGGCTTCTGAGCCCAGCAATTGTCTCCAGTGTTTGCACTCAGGCAGCTGGAGGGGTAGGGAGCTGGCTCCTCGCCTTGACTGTGGCTGCCTTGGCTTCCACCAGCACAAGACTGTGGCCCTGGCATGTCTAGGTTTCCTTCTTCAGAGGAGCCCACTCTGCCATGTCAGCCCCTTGACTTGGTTATATAATCACAGGGTTGAGCCCAGGCAGAGTTGGACAGGCACCCCCTGAGGCTGGGCTAGCCCTTGGTTCTGTCCTGGGGATGAGGTCCAGTTGTCCTGGCTTTGGTCCCGGGACATGTCATGGCTGTGAGAAGGGTCAAAACTTTTGGGGGGCAGGGGGGTGGGGGTGGGGGAGGTGCTGTGTTAGTTCAGAGAGTGAAAGCCATTAATTCCAGATGGCTATGACCTTGAGCAAGTCCCTTCTCTCCAAGCTTCAGGTGTCACCTTCGTTCATTGAAACAGTCATTTATTGAGCCCCTCCTATGGGCCAGGTTTAGGCATCAGGGATACAGTACTGAATGAAAGTGCCCCCAAAGATCCCTGACCTGGTGTGGTTGACATTATAGGAAGGAAATAGACATAAATATATGAGTAAATATTTTTTAAAGATTTTATTTATTTATTCATGAGAGAGAGAGAGACAGAGGCAGAAACACAGGCAGAGGGAGAAGCAGGCTCCATCCAGGGAGCCCGACGTGGGACTCGATCCCAGGTCTCCAGGATCACACCCTGGGCTGAAGACGGCGCTAAACCACTGAGCCACCCGGGGCTGCCCCAATGAGTAAATATTAGTGTGGCAGGTGCTGTAGAGTAAAACAAGGGAGGAGACATCAAGTATGGTCTGAGAAGTTAACATCTGAACAAAGATTCAGAGGTGAGGGGACAAGCTGTGGGGATATCTGAAGGAAGCACATTCCAGACCAAGGGAACAGAAAAGCAAAAGTCCTCAGGCAGGAGCAGGACTGGCAGGTTCAAAAGATGGCAAGGAGGCCAGTGTGACTGGAGCAGAATGAGCAAGGCCTGGAGGGCCTGGAGGTGATGGAGCCATGGTTGGGGCCAGAGCAAGGAGGACCTTAGAGGTCATTCTGGCTTTTACTCAGGAACAGGGAGCCCCTAAAGGGTTTGAGGTCAAGAAATGACATGGTCGAACTTACTTTAACATGATGAGCCTGGCTACTGTACTGAGACTAAACTGTAGGTTGGCCTAGGGGAGAAACAAGGAGACAAGTTAGGAGCCCATTGTAATAATCCAGGTGTGACACAGTGATGCCTCCTACCAGGGTGTTCACTAGCAGTGAGGCAGTGAGAAGGAGAGCCAGCAAAATTTCTAGAGCAGGATAGGAGGTTTTGCAGATGCTGACACCACCAGCCAGAGCTTTCTTGTGCTGCCTAGCCATGGTCAACCCCACTGTATTTTATTTTTTAGATTGTATTTATTTGAGAGAGAGCACGTGCATGAGTAGGGAGAGGGGCAAAGGGAGAGGGAGAGGCAGACTCCCTGCTGAGCAGGGAGCCCAATGCAGGGCTCTACCCCAGAACTCTGAGATCATGACCTGAGGCCAAGGCAGACACTTAACTGATTGAGCCACCAGACGCCCCAACCCCACCACGTTCTTGAGCTGTTGGGCTACACCTCCTTCCAGCTGTTTGTATACAGATTTTCCAAGACAGCAGAAAACTTGCATGCTCTGAGAACTGGGGGCAGAAGGATTTGGCACCTGCTCCCCAGAAGGATTTGGGAATTTCTGTGCCAGGGCAGTGATGTCACACACCATGATGGCACTGGCAGCATCTACAGGGAGAAATTCGATGATGAGAATTTTATCCTGAAGCACACAGGTCCTGGCACCTCATCCATGGCCCATGCTGAGCCCAACACAAATGGTACCCAGTTTTTCATCTGTGCTGCCAAGCCCAAGTGGCTGGAGGGTGAGCCCATGGTCTTGGGCAAAGTGAAAGAAGCCATGGAGTGCTTTGGATCCAAGAATGGCAAGATCAGCAAAGTGTCCAGTGCTGTCCACGGACATGCTAATAAATTGGGTTGTGCTTTATCTCCCCATCTGCCTGCAATGAATGTCCTGTGGTCTTCATTCTCTCACAATAGATCTTTGGGTTCCACATTTTCCTTATCCCCTTCCCAGTCCAGATGGACACAAGTGTTAAGCTGTGAAATAAAAAGTAAACAACAGACAAGAAAAAGAAAGAGAGGAAATGAGGATGATGTCGAAGTTTGGGGCCCGGGAGGAATGGAGAAGACTATGGGGTGAGGGCTGGCTGGGGGCGGGTGGACAGGATCCAGGTGCAGATGTCAGGTAGTAGTTGGATGTATGAGCCTGGGATTCAGGGTTCAGATCTGGGCTGAAGACAGAGGCTGAGAATCTTGTCCTGACCCAAGAGCCCTGGCCCCAAACCACACACCGCAAACCCCCTCCCTCACCTGGCAAACTTGTTAAAATACACTTTACTGCCCCCTCGTGCTTCTCCCCAACAGGGTTCTGGTTCAGTAGGTTGTGGGTGAGGCCTGACTTTCTGAGCAAAACCACCCCAGGTCATTTCAGAGTAATTGCCAGCTCTGGAAACTCCCACTAAATTGAACACACAGAGAAATTGGCTTTGATGATTCTTTTTTATTTATTTATTTATTTATTTATTTATTTATTTATTTTTATTTTATTTTTTAATTTTTATTTATTTATGATAGTCACACACACACAGAGAGAGAGAGAGGCAGAGACATAGGCAGAGGGAGAAGCAGGCTCCATGCACCGGGAGCCCGACGTGGGATTCGATCCCGGATCTCCAGGATCGTGCCCTGGGCCAAAGGCAGGCGCTAAACCACTGCGCCACCCAGGGATCCCTGATGATTCTTTTTTAAAGACTTATTTATTTATTCATGAGAGACACAGCGAGAGAGAGAGAGAGAGAGAGAGAGAGAGAGAGAGACAGAAAGAGAGAGAGAGAGGGAGAGAGGCAGAGATACAGGCAGAGGGAGAAAGAAGCAAGCTCCCTGCAGGGAGCCCTATGCAGGACTCCATTCCCCACCCAGGATCATGCCCTGAGCCTAAGGCAGCCGCTCAATCTCTGAGCCACCCAGGCGCCTGGACTTTGATGATTTTTGACAAATGTAAACAGCCCTGTCACCACTGCAACAATGACAATATGGAACATATTCCACAAATTCCCCCACACCAGCCCCTGGAAACCACAGATCCGTTTTCTGTCCTCATGGCTGTGTTGCTTCAAACTGTCCAACAGTTGGACTCATGTAGTATGTGGCCTCTTGTGTCTGCTTTATAATGGGTATAATGTTTTATTTGGAGGTTTTATACAAATCTGAACTTTAATACCTTCCCTAATATGTTACACTATGGTTTCTAATCCTAATGTATTAGGAAGCAGGTGTTAGAAAGTTTTCATCAAGTCTTCCAAGTATCTCCCAATACTCTCCCGGTTAATCAGATGCTGTGCAAATACTCTGGGTTTCTTTGTGTGCCCTGTTGGGAAGCCTCGCCTGAGGCACCTCCCCTGCTTGGGAGACACACTGGTAACAGAGAAAGGAAGAGAGTGAGGATGGGGGCCAGTGGGCAGGAACCGTGTCTCCTGCACCTCCCTCTTGTGGACAGCTTCTAATTTGCTCTGCCCACCCCCCAAGGTTGGTACATTTGTTTGCAAACCAAGAGACAAGGGGCTTTCCTCTGAGTAAATGGCAGTAGCTTTTGGCATTGGCTGTTTCCCAACTGTTTTGCCTATTCAAGGAGGATTTCTGTCTCCCTTCTGGTTTCTCAGCTGACTTGTAGATGCTAAGGAAGAGACCTCCCTGGATGGTGGCAGTCTCTGCAAACCCCGGTGCTTCTGCTAGCCCCAGCATGGACACCCCCCCACCCCGGGCAGAGAAAGCTGGTTTGAGTTGTCTCTGTCCTTTCTATGACCTTGGGCAAGTGTCCTGAGCCTTCTCTAGCCTCAGTTTTCTGCTCTGTAAAATGGGGTTAGCACTGATGCCAAGCTGACTGGACATTGTTAGGCTTCACTGAGCTCTCTCCTGCAGGTGAGCTTGCTGCCTGGCACAGAGGGAACACTGAGCTGATGGTTGCTGGCATCACAGCGACCCTCCAGACAGTGACAGAGTGGATAAGGGTGGACTTGGGAGGTCTGCTTGAGTCAGAAGGGAGTGCGTGGCTCTGGAAACAGATAATCTAAC